GAAAACTAACAACATATTTGAATTCAGCGCGTCAAGTTTAATGAAATGTGATAACTTTTATAGCCAAAAATTGCAATTGTATATAATTCAAGGGAAAGAATTCATGTACATGTATTAATCACATTAGTAATAGACATTGCTGCTTCCCTTTAAAAATGTTGTCAAACATCCAACTGTTGAAGTCGGCGGGTAAAAATTTTGAAATAATTTTTATACCAATCTTTGGAGACATTTAGTTTATTTTATTTAAAACCGTTTCCCCTAGCTATAATTTATTTTCTATTTTCCAACCGTCACTACTAACCGTATTTTCTTTTCTTTTTTCCAATCGTCTCAGTCTCAGCTAGTCGTATCTTATTTTCTATTTTTTAAACGTCTCCATCTTAAAACTGTTTCATTTAGCTGTATTTCATTTTCTATTTTCCGACCATCTCCACTTGCTCTATTAAAATTTCTATTTTACAACCATTTCGCCTAACCGCATTTTGTTTTCTATTTTCCAACCGTCTCCCCTAGCTGTTTTTTATTTTATATTCTAAAACCATCTCTACTATCTGTATTTTATTTTCTATTTTACAAGCGTTTTCCCTAGATGTATTTTATTTTCTATTTTTTAACCGTCTCCACTCGCTGTATTTCTTTAAAATATTTTCCAACCGTCTCAACTAGCCGTATTTTATTTTCTATTTTCCTACGCACTCCACTAGCTGTATTTTATTTTCTATTTTTCTACGCACTCCACTAGCTGTATTTTATTTTCTATTTTCCTACGCACTCCACTAGCTGTATTTTATGTTCTATTTTCCTACGCACTCCACTAGCTGTATTTTATGTTCTATTTTCCTACGCACTCCACTAGCTGTATTTTATGTTCTATTTTCCTACGCACTCCACTAGCTGTATTTTATGTTCTATTTTCCTACGCACTCCACTAGCCGTATTTTATGTTCTATTTTCCTACGCACTCCACTAGCCGTATTTTATGTTCTATTTTCCTACGCACTCCACTAGCTGTATTTTATGTTCTATTTTCCTACGCACTCCACTAGCTGTATTTTATGTTCTATTTTCCTACGCACTCAACTAGCCGTATTTTATGTTCTATTTTCCTACGCACTCCACTAGCTGTATTTTATGTTCTATTTTCCTACGCACTCCACTAGCCGTATTTTGTGTTCTATTTTCCTACGCACTCCACTAGCCGTATTTTATGTTCTATTTTCCTACGCACTCCACTAGCCGTATTTTATGTTCTATTTTCCTACGCACTCAACTAGCCGTATTTTATGTTCTATTTTCCTACGCACTTCACTAGCTGTATTTTATTTGGCAACAAACTGTTCACCCCTTCGGCCCACTCCATGAGCAGTAACAAGGTAACAAGCAAACAATAAGACAGGTCGGGGCTATCACAGAAAAGTCTGCAATAACTTCTTTTTTTTTTTTAACCAACCGTCTCCATTACGTGTATTGTATTTAATATCTTCTTACCATCTCCCCTAGCTGTATTTTATTTCATATTTTCCTACTGTGTCCCCTAGGTTTTATTTTATTTAATATTTTCTAACCGTCATCACTAGCTGTATTTTATTTTCTACTTTCAAACCGTCTCCACTAGCTGTATTTTAATTTATATTTTAAAACCATTTCCCCACACTATATTTAAAATAGTTTTTTTTAAAATAATTGAACAAAATCCATCTAGTACTGGCGGTTTGTAAAATAATCAAAATAAAGTTTAAAATATCCCACGTGAAGACGGGTATTACAGTTCAAGGAAAAAAATCATGAATTATTTGTCGTGGCATTAGTACTATTAGTAGTAGACATTGTTGTTTAGTAGACGTTGTTGTTTAGTAGACATTGTTGTTTAGTAGTAGATGTTGTTTCCCTTTCACGATAATTGTGACATCTCCAGCCGATGGAGGTTGGTGATTTATTTTTTTAAAGGAAAAGAAAACAGGAAATGTTTGGTTTATTTTATTTCTATTCTGAGGCGTCGAGATAAAATCAGAAAAGAAAATACAGCTAGTGGAGACGGTTGTAAAATATAAATGAAATCAAAGAAACTCATTTTTCTGACGGTGGGCAGTTATTAAAAAATTATTTTTTTTATTGACTCACCACTTTTTATCATGTCCGTTTATAATGACCTTTGTCACACTTTGTGCGAGCGTAGATTTGACCAGCTTCTGGTGATAGTCGTAGAACTTCTGTTTTGGACACATTTATTACTAGGTCAACTTTTTCCGCAGCCCTAGCTAGTTAGTAATTCATTGATTTTGTTTTTCTTTGCACTTCATGTTCTGTGGTGTTTAACAGGCAGATGTCATCCGCAAAATCTACATCTAAATATGTGCCATTTGTCCATCCAATGCCTGTTTCTATGTATTGACTCTGTCTCATTACAAAATCAATCACAATTTCAAAAGGGACAAGTGATAGTGTGCAGCCTTGTCTAACTCCAGTATTTACTTAAAAAGGTGCAAATAATTCTCCTTCAACTAGGACATAGCATCCTGCTTCTACATGATGATCTTACTTATCGTTTATTATTTTCATTTGGATGGGCATACTTAAAATACGGTACATCTAGATAACTCTGGCTGGCACAAGTGGGCTGATGTGTCTGAGAATGCCGTACAGGTCAATAACTCTACTTCCTGTCACATTGCGTGGGCAGTACAGGTTAACTCTACTTCCTGCCACATTGCGTGGGTGGTACAGGTCAACTCTACTTCCTGTCACATTGCGTGGGTGGTACATGTCAACTCTACTTCCTGTCACATTGCGTCTGGTCGACATGGCACAGACGTATATATATATATATATTGTCACGTACAAGTTTTTACACTCCCACCAACACAACTTAGATCATTACTGATGCAGTCTTCCGACCCTGCCTGTCAGGGCCAACCTGGGCTGAGAGGGATACAACATCCCAGCAGACAGACCCGGCCTGAGAGGGATACAACATCCCAGCAGACAGACCCGGGCTGAGAGGGATACAACATCCCAGCAGACAGACCCGGGCTGAGAGGGATACAGCAACCCAATAAAAGACTGAGATAATAAAACTGTCTCCCCACTCGGGAATCAAACTCGGGTCTCCAGCGTGTGACAGCAAAGTGCCTAACTGCTACACCACAGACGCTAGTTCACAAACAAGTAACAGTGGACCATATGTTGTTATAGAAACAGTTGTCAAAATCCCACAACTAACCCTTTAAAAAAATTGTAATTGTACACCCAATACCACCAGACAAAGTGCATTCAAGTTCAGAAAATAAAAATTTATTTCAATAAAGTTAATATAATTCAGTTCATATAATTCACTTTGGAATTTTATTATCATGAAAAATACTCTACGAAATGCATCCAAATGATTGAAAATAATCGTTTTTTTCTACTGCACATAATAAATAAATAGCATGTATACGATTCAGTCCAAATGGCAAATATTGCAGTCTGGAATGCAACTGACATGGCAAATATTGCCTTCAAGAATGTAATAATGAAAAATGGCAAATATTGCAGTCAGAAATGAAGTAATGAAAAATGGCAAATATTGCAGTCAGAAATGAAGTAATGAAAAATGGCAAATATTGCAGTCAGAAATGAAGTAATGAAAAATGGCAAATATTGCAGTCTGGAATGTAACTGACATGGCATATATTGCCTTCTGGAATGTAATGAACATGGCAAATATTGCATGGAATGTAATGAACATGGCAAATATTGCATGGAATGTATTAAGATATCCTGTAGAAAGACAAAGGGCAGGGAAGTGTGAAGTGGCCGTTTGTACAAGAGATTGTCTATTATTTAGTAGAGGTTTTACGGCGCTCGGAACTGCATAAGGTCATATAAGCGTCAAGTGGTGGATGTCAACAGAGAAGTCTTTGCAGGGAATCAGGCTTACTCTGCTCACCTCTCTAGCTTCAACAGCACAAAGTGGTGATTGTCTTATATAATTATAAATACAGGTGGCCGTTTGTACAGGTGATTATCTTATACAGGTGGCCATCAGACTTGACTGAACACATAAAAGTTTGACTGTTGGAAGACTACTCCATGCTGACTGGCGATGATGTATGTTACAAGCATGAAAAAACCCAGAAACTGCCGCACGGGCGACTCAGTAGTGAGTCAGTAGCTGCCCAGTCAGGACCCAACACAAAGGGAACATCTCAACATTTCACGTAGCCCTGACCAAAACATGTTTGTAGCCATGCTCATCAAGACCAGCTTGAATTTACCCCCATCCCCGACAAAATCAAAACACAATACAACATTACACTCCACAAAATTAAAATAACAACAAAATCTCCGACACACACATATATCCCATCATGTACTAATACTGATACAAAGCCAGATCTGGCTATGTATGTGTCTTTGGCTATGTATGTGTCTTTGGCTATAGTGTCTTAAACACAAAGAAAATAGATGACAAAATCAGGACCTGAAAATTTGTTTGCTACGGGTTTGCTAAGTATGCCTTTGTCAAGAGTGTGTGCATTTGTCCCAATGTGTTCCTAAATGCTGGTCTGTGTGTGTTCCTAAATGATTACCTGTGTGTGTGTTCCTCAACGTTTGTCTGTATGTGTCTCGTATGAAGGAAGATAATCCGCTAGACACTAAAGCCAGGACCAAACTCTCAGTTCCTGCCACTGGGAACAACTGAGGAATGTGCAGAAAGGAAGGAAAGAAATCAAACACAATACACTTAAATAAATTACAAAATAGAATAAAATAAATTACACAATTGAGTGACAACACTTATATACGTATATTATATTGTCCAAATTGATTTGAAAAAATCTCTCTCACACACCCACACTATAATAATATAGATCTATGTACACACACACATGATACTGATGCACTTCACCACTACACCACACGCGCGGGTAATCTACATTCAGTTCTGTGGCTAGTGTCACTCAATCCAATGGGAGAAACGACAGAAAACAAGATCACTAACCCCCCCCCCCCCCCCCAGGTACCCGTGAGTGAGATCAGTTGTCCACTACCTCCGTGATCAGCTCGGCTGACGAGAACGTGAGAAATTCCTCGAGATATTTGGGCAGTCCCAGCTGTTCCACCCTTTCCCTGCGCCCCGGGGGCCCCCCACACATCCCAGAGACGCGCACCATGCTCAGCTGTAGCAGGGAGGGAGGGGAGGAGGCCATGTCATCCAGAAACTCCATACTTCTATCCAAGTTTTTCCTGCTAAAACACTCGCGGACAATCTCGTGTCTGGGCAGTTGAGTGAGGTCCGACTTGGTCAGATAAAACGCACGCACCATGCGGCGGGCGATCTCCACACGACCGAAGGAGAGAGCCATGAAGAGAGGGGAGCAGACCTTCATGACCGGCACGTTGACTCCCACCCACTCGTGGAACGGATCCCGCTTCATTCGGGGCACAATCGGAGGCAGGCAGCATCCGTGTATCAATCCACGCAGCAGGTAGAAGCAGTTTTCAGCCAAGGCTCTGTGCACCGCCAGCTCACATCTCGGCGAGGACACTTTGGCTCCGTGGTTCAGCAGGATGTGGATAAACTCGGGCCGGAATCTCTCTGCCTCCAGCAGATGTGACAGCAAGCTCTTGCCCTTGTGTGGAGAGTTCACGTCGACGCCGGACTCCACCAGGCAGTGGAACACCGACAAGTTGTTTGCCTCGACTGACTTGGCGACTGCCGAGCAACCGCGCCAGTTGACCACATTGAGTAGCGCCCCCTTCTCAACAAGCAGGCGGACGACGCGCGGGCTGTCTGACATGGTGAGTGCCGTGTCCTCGCTTTCGTCCCGGATGTTGACGTCAGCGCCCCCCTCCAGCAAAAAGTGGACGACCTCCACGTGTCCGTTCCCAGCCGCAGCTATCAGGGCGGGGTAGCCATGCAGGGGTTTCTGGTTCAAGTCCGCTCCTTTGTTCACCAGGGTGAACACAGACTTCATGTCCCCTTGCTCCGCAGCCAAAGACAGCAGTGACCTCCCATGTCTGTCCAGCTGATTGGGGTCAAAGTCGAAGGTCAACATGAACGTGCGGAAGTCTCCTTTGCAGCGGCTGTGAGAGAGGACGGAGGTGAGGAAGTTGATGTCAACCGTGGCCCCGTGTTGCAGCAACACTCTCACCATATCTGCCGAGCGGGACATGGCCACGGGAACTCTCCCGTCTGTCTCCTCAATGGGTTGCCACAGCGAGGTCGAGCTGGCCACCCTACGAGACAACGACTGAGTCGCATCCACCGACTCTAGCGATGGTGCTTTTTTCCTCTCCACCAATTGCAGCTGTTGACCTTTTACTGTCGCCCCCGATGCCAGTAGACTCTCCACGATTTCCGTGTTATTACAAAAACACGCTTTCTGCAGCCAGTCTTTCCCCACCTCCGAGGTCACAAGTTCCATAAACTTCCGCCGGTCCACGTCCTGTACCAGGGAGAAAATGGAGAAGAGTCCGGACAGAACGGCAAAACCCACAGCCGTCTCAAAGTCCAGATTGTCGATGAGCTGCAAGAGTCGCGAGACGCACGCCTTCTGACCCGCCAACATGGCGGCATACAGAGCCTCATGTAGCGTAGCGTGCATCATGTCAGGTGACCAGCCTGGTGTCGGTGAGTCACCCCTGCTGTCAGGTGTGAGAGAGTTCAAGGACTTGGCCAGAACGTCCACAGAGTGAAGTTGGCCACAGCCGGCGGCGAGCTCGAGGGCTGTGGAGTAAGAGTCCCATTTGTCGCGGCTGTACACCCAGTCCTCCGTCTCCAGTAGCACAGACAGGACGTCCGAGTCCCCGACGCGCGCCGCCAGCCAAACGGGGCAGTGGGAGTTGTTGACCTCACAGCGCAGGTGCACGTCCGCCCCCGCTCTCACCAGCTGCCTCATCACCTCCACCTCTCGCGCACGGAACGGAGCCAGGGAGAAGTCGGGACAGTATCGGCCCGCTGTGCACCGTGACCCGCCGGTGAGATAGAATGAGTTCATTCCCAGGATTCCTATGGTCAGTTTAGAGTGAAACAAGACATTGAGAGGGGTGCGGCCCCACTCGTCCTCGTGGTTGGGACTGAAAGGTCCAAAAGTAAGCAGAGTGTCAATGAGTTCTGAGTCTAGCGCCATGGTGGCTCGCACCAGAGGCGCGCTCGTGTCCAGAACGCCCAACAAACCGTCCATACCCAGGGCAGCCGCCAACGACCGGGCCGTGTTTCCGTCTCTGTCCTTCAGCGCCACATTGGCCTTGTGTCTCATCAGCTGGTTCATCGCCAACACGTTCTGGCTCTGCACGGCTTTCATCAACGCAGTCTCCCCGTTCTGGTTCTGAAAGTTGACGGTAGCGTTTTTCTCCAGCAAGTCCTGGGTGATCTGTGCTGCGGCCCCGCAGGCCTGGCAAAGGATGAGTGCTGTGTTGCCAGATTTGTCCACACTGTCCACCGCGCAGCCTGGCAAGGACAGCAACACCTTCGCGATGTCGGCATAGCCCTGTTCAGCCGCCACATGGAGGCAGTTTTTACCGAAAGAATCTTGAAATCCATTCGCGTCTGCTCCGTAAAACGTCAACTCTTGAACACGGAACAATTGTCCGCGTGAGACGGCGGTGAACAGTTCGTTGTTCATGTCATCAGAGGTCAGGTCAGCGATGTCCTCACCGCCCCACGGGGTGGTGCTCACAGCCTCACACTGGTCAGATTCATCCAGACCGTCCACCAAACTGACCGGCTCAGTGGCGTGTTCAGACATCACGGAGTCTCTGGGCGGAGATTCTGAGCCAGTCGTGACGTCTTCCATCATCTGCTCATCCACGGACACACGTCTGTCTCTAGACGGGGAATCCACGGACATCGCTTCACCAGAGTTTGTTTCCATAGCAATCAGATGTAAGCACAGTGTCTCGTCTACGGGCACGATGCAGCTCAACAGCTCCACAGCGACTTGATCGACCTGAAGAGAAGAAGATTAGACGACAGATTAAAATCACAGGCGGAGGAAACTTGCACAACACTGTCACAATGACGTCAGTAGATTATGTACTGTAAGAATGACGTCAGTAGATTACATCTATATATCTACTGAACATTTTACATCAGTGACATGATTGCTTAAGTCAACTTCACACACACACGAGTCGGCCAATCAGCCGTATCAGACTTGTCAGACTTCCCGTTCCCAACATTCGACATTGGAGAAACAACGAAATAAACTTTCACAATTTCACAACGCATTGAGGAAAGAACACACGGTTAATTCCTTCAAGACACAACGTCGTGTGTATGTAAACAAATAAATATGTCATGTGCATATATATATATATGTCATGTGCATATAAACAAATAAACTTTGTCACGCATATTAAACAAACAAACTTTGTCACGCATATTAAACAAATAAACTTGTCACATTTATATATAATATGTAAACAAATAAATTTGTTAGGTGTAAAGTTGTTCCCGCATTCGATCCGGACATTGGGGATTGCCTTGTTAGCAAGACAACTTCCTGGGCCTTCGGCATATTGTGGTAGGGTGGCCAGTTCCTTTCCACGCCGCCTTTACTTCCCTAACTCGAAGTCAGGTACACATTACTGCTGGGTGGGCAAGAGGAGGCAAAATAAATCCGTATCCGAACCGAGACTCCAGCCCGGACTTTCCACTTCGGAGACGAGCGCACTAACCGCTCCGTCACCCCACCCTTATGTCATGTGTATGCAAACACATATGTAATGTGTTATACATATCCCATGTATGTATACAAATAAATGCGTTTTGTGTACTATTTATACAAATAAATGTCTTGTGCACAAATAATATTACATAAATTTTTATATGTCTTGTGCATGTAAAGAAATACATCTTGAGTAAACATAGACATAACTGCCTTGTGTATGGATACACATAAAACCGTCTTGTGAACACACACACACACACACATAAGGGAATGCGCAGATGCAGAAATCTTTTCCTTAGAGTAAGAATTTCTGCCATTATGTCAGAATATTTGACAACAAAACATGACAAACGCTGTCTTTGAAGTCTTTGAGTCATAGCAAGAAAGGTGATGCATGAAGCATCCTGTTATTTTCCTCTCATTCCCCTCTCCTGTTCAAGCATTGTACATGTATAGCTTTGTTTCTGTTGCTTTTATCCTTACACAAAAATCAACTTTATATCCGATGCGAATTAATAGTTTTAAAAAAATGATGGTTTTTATTAGAACTACTTGTATATTACACCAAGCAGCCTAATCGTGTTGTAATTTCCATGACTTAGACGTAGACCACTAGAGGGACCATTTTCCCAGAAGTAAAAAAAATAAATGTGGGGCCTACAAGGAGTATGTACATTCATAAAGTTGACTTTGGACCTGATTTGTCCGACCTGAGTGTCCCAGCTTGTGGCAAAGCCTCAAGGACACACCCATCACACCCCGGGAATTACAAGAATGAAAAGCTCAGTGCCACTAGTGTTCAAAGCAATGTCTATATTTTACTAGGATGTATAGACAGCTTGTCTTTTCAGTGACCCACCCGTTCTTGTCCCACATCTTCCAGTCACTACTCATTTTCGCCCCACTTTCTTCAGCCATAATTTACCTGTTTTCGTCCCACATTTGCAAGTGTCTTTGTGTCCACAGTTTGCTGGGCAATGTGAGCCCTTCATTTCATGAGTCAAAGGGAGACTGACTGCAAACATTGTGCAAAGTTTTCCCCTGGATTTATAACAGATCTTCATCAAGAGTTTTATTAAAAAGGATTTTTATCAAAAATGTTTTATTCTGCAACCTTTTAACACAAATTTGTATCCTGCACAAAATCCTACTTCCATCTCTCTAGATGTTTATAAACAATTTTTTCCATGCATCTTAATTAAGGCCACACTAATAGTCAAACTTTTTAGCATTAAAATCTACAAGTAAGTTGTTTTAACTCCCCTCATTTTCTCAAAATATTCCATTCCAGGATTAAGAATATTCAGTTTTGGGAATAATTATCTGTTACATAATCACAGAAATGGCAAATTAGAGTGAAACTGGGCTATCTGAAGGACCATTTTCAAAAGCTAAAAACTAAAAAAAAACCCCCATACTATCTATGAACTAATAACATAATATTTGTAACCTGCACACATATCTTTAGAAAATTAAAAAATGGTATAATAATCTTATTACTTGTAGAAGACTTCCCCCCCTCTTTTTTTGGTAAGTGTTTTACAATGCTTGCAACTGCATAAGGTCATATCAGCACGCGGGATACATTAAACTTTTTCAGTTGGTAGGAAATTTTGAATTTTGCCATGGTGGCGACCGAAGCCTACTCTTATCGATTCTGGCCCACCAAGCAACTTGAACACGAGACCACTGAGATTTTTACCCATTGTCCGAGAAGGCTAGGTGTAGAAGTTACCCACCATAAGGTCAGAGGTGTGGCTGAAAGACAGCAGTAAGAAGGAGCCAAGGAGTAGCAGTAGAAATGCTGCAGAAAGAGGAGCCCAGAGGAGGGGGGAAAAGGAGGTGAGGGGGAGGGGGCAGAAAGTGGAGACCAAAGCAGACGACAGAATATGGTTAGAGAGCAGGAAAGGAGGTGAAAGGAGAAAACTTTAAAAGAGAAGAAAATTTTCTGTTGCTGTCCAGATTTGAACGCGGGACTTATTGAATGAGAGGCTTTTTAGCTACTGACAAAACAACAACGTAAAAAAATAATTGAAAATATATACTTTTTCAAAAGTTACAAAAAGCTAGCATCATTTTATTTGGAATTGCCCTCCAACTTTTACGTTTTTATCTTGAATGGTTCTTGAGTTTTTAGCTTTTAAAGCCATGAAAAGAACATTTTGAGGGCAAGAGCAAAAACATGTCAGAATTGCTTTAACGCTTTGTATAGTCTCACAATGTTACAAACTTTACGAGCCGTCTGAGATAGAGCGTTGGGAGAACTTCCATTTGATTTAGCACATAATACTTTTCCTGGGAAGTTTCTCAAAACCCCCAAAAAACATTCAACCCCAAAAACATGTGCTGTCTGTGGCCTTAAAATCATTTTGGAATCGAAGTGGCAAATGCATGTAACCTTGATCTATCTGTAAGCAATCGAATCGAGGTGGGACAAATACGGGTACAACAAAATTCAAAAATGAAAATTGTGGGACGAAAACGGATTCTCCCCTTTTAAGAGAAATAAATCAGCCCTCACCAATTGTTTGTCTTCCACTTAATTAGATATATAGCAAAAACAACTTGTTCAAGACAATTTGAACACACAGCATTTAGAACCCATTAATTGAAAAAAAAACTACAGCAAGATAAAGAGTAAAACTATCAAGCTAGGCGTCCTGAAGAAGGGTATGATCACTAGCCAGGAATTAAGACAAACACAATTGAATGATATAAACTAGATCTAGATTTTCTCTAGATCTACGATAGAGACTGCCGTTAACATGTTTCATTCATCGAAGTGTATACAGACCCGGTAACCAGGAACAAAGTCACGAAGTATACAGACCCGGTAGGGAAACTCTGTTGTTATTTCAGAAAGTTTCAGCGCCCAGACCCGGTAGTGTGTTTGTGTGTGTGTGAGAGAGAGAGAGAGCGAATGTGAGAGAGAAAGAGAAAGAGTGAGAGTGAGAAAGAGAGAGAGAGAGAGTGAGAGTGAAAGTGAGAAAGAGAGAGAGAGAGAGAGAGAGAGAGAGAGAGAGAGAGAGAGAGAGAGAGAGAGAGAGAGAGAGAGAGAGAGAGAGAGAGAAGTGCTAGCAAAATGTATATATGACATGCCCCAGTTGGCAGAAGGGAACGAGAGAAAGATAGAAAGGGAAATAGGTGGGGAGAGAGAAAGACAAAGACAAACAAAGAAAAAGAGAAGGCGAGCGATACACAGAGGAGAGAGAGAGAGGCAGAGAAATAGAGAGGGTCACTGCTTGATTGAAATTATGTATTGTTCTTTTCTTCAAATTGAGATTCCTCCAACTCCGAAACGGAGGAAAAACGATCGTTCATCGAAAAGACATCCACAATCTTCATTTAGATGATCTAGATCTAGGCTAGCCTTGAAACTAGATCAATGATTTATATCTGTCTGTCTAGATCTAGGCCATAGATCTAGAAGAACCTAGGTCTACCCTGAGCCAAGAGGGCGCTGAAACTTTCCGAAATCACAAAAGAGTTCCCCTACCGGGTCTGTATACTTTGTGACTTTGTTCCCGGTTACCGGGTCTACACTCCCTTCATTCATTGCTTGAGTTTTTCTTTAGCATCTTTCTTTTTGCAGCCCAACTCAATTTTCTACAACATTATAGACAAAAGATCTAGAATCTAGATCTAGATCTAGTTGACAAACAACATGGGTGAAAGAGACATAGAATCTAGATCTAGTACAAGACAAACCTGTGAATTATTCTATATGGCTGGTCACAGTGCCAACAGTAGTACAACACTCTCCTTTCTTGAATAGAATGAACCATAACTTTAAATAAGGGCCTTTATAATAAGGATGGTCTTTTCTTGGTCTTGAACGTACACACACGTGTGTACCTCCAGAATGGTTTCTGTCTTTGTGGTGCTCCAGCATACGTCGTGAAAACAGTGACACAACAAAACAAATGCCATGAACAATGAATTGGCTAGCCTATACTATAGCATAGCTATAGTCTAGTCTATAGCCTAAATTATAAAACAAGGGTAAAGGTAGTGGTAGTATACCATAACATAAAACAAAGGCTGGGTTGGGGTAGAAATGCTCAAAGAGAAAATCTACGATGACGAAAACACACAACAATGAAGAACACGGTCAGGTGTAGGCTACACGTGTATAACAACAAGATGTAGAGAAAAGATTCTTGTGGTTGAGGAAAAGGGTTAATATAAGATTTTTAGAACATTAGAACATCTTACCTGCCTTTCTCCACTTGTGTCAGCAGGCGTGCAACTTGTCAAATGGTGTACTGGTCTTGGCTTCAGCTCTTTTCCCCACGCTGGACCACGCTTGTAGTAATCACATGACCAAAAGAGCAGGGTGCCCGGCTTTTCGGACTGTCCATCCTTTGTCCAGGCAGCGTCCAGCCCAGGTATCCTGGGAGATTTCTTTGTTGTTGTTTCGCTTTCTCAAACCCTCGCAGGTCACCGCCTGGTAGTTTGTAGCAGTTACTTAACAAACGTTGTTGCGCCCACAGTTTCTACGTAGCATTACATAATTTGTAAAATTATTATTATTTAATTTCTTTACAATACATTGTAATATTATGATTAAAGCATCTTTATGCATGCAAAAATTGGT